ACCACTACCATAACGCACATAGGAGGTGAGATAAGATAACGTTTAATGTTCTATTTTGTCTCCATAAGGCAGAGTCAAGGACATTTGTAACGACCACCTAAGAAGAGAAGTGGTTGATATAAGAGATAAGAGCCATGGCCGTACATCTCTTAAAAAACATAGACATACGCTATCGCACGTTTCACTATCTTTTCAGAATAAATCATCAGCAATGAAATATGCAAAAGACAGACTGTCCTTCATGCTTGAAGAGTGCGGTATGGCTTGCATCGTATATCAGGGATAGATGGGAGAGAGGCACCGTTTGTTGGATCAAAATAACGATCTATAAATCAACATCAGAAGGATGGAAGGTCACAATGTCACAATGAATAACCATATGGTGTTGAAGACGGAAGATCTACGTATCTACGACCTACGAGTTCAAATGCAATATTGGAAAACAAAAAGTATTACTATTTTAAAAATTCATTGTAAAGATCAATCTGAAAAGAATACTAGTTATCAAGTTGTAGACATCAGAGGTTGTAGATTGAATATTGCTGACAGCACATGTGCATCTAACACTTGCAGGTTATATTGATTCTTATGTACATGGGCGTGACAAAAGCCGTTAGACAGACTGGTCATTGGATCATTGGATCTCTGCATGTAACATTTTCATATAATCGCTCCTGCAAGAATGCTCGTCACTTTAAATATGCACCAATATCTGGATTATAAATCCACCCATCCCTGAATGCCGTATGTCAAAGACAATGACATATTGATACAGCCAGGCGCGCGTCATTGAGAAAAGTTCCGAAGCGGGATTGTGGTTCAACCGCCCCTGACGGGCTGACGACAGACGACAAATCAGCGCCACGGCATGTAACCATCCGCGAACAACTGACGCAGCCTGCGATGAGATATTGATAACGATCAGCCCGCCTGCTGTGCACCTGTACCCTGTGGTAGAGATATCATCGTTCGTCATCAACTCAGAGCAAGAGTGATCTGGGATGGGGGGAGTAAACCCGATGGGGGAGTAAGCCCTAGCACAAACAATCCAGGGGGATGAAACGCCCCATGTAAAAGTCCTAGGGAGTACACAATAGCAAGGAAAAGCTATACTTCCTAGTAAACCTTATTGTTTTCCGTTTCATCATTGTTCTGAATTACTTACTGTATTCAAAAACGTATGTTAACTTACAAGATGATATGGTCTAGACCAGGGATATATTTACCATAGCAAGTGACTAAGAATGAAGAAAAAAACAATTCTACGACTATGTAAAAAAACGTGCTTTCACGAGCAACCACGATAAGATAAGCAATCAGGCTTCGACTTCATCATTAGCTATAGACTGTGTTTGACATCAACCTATAGCAACTGATTAGAACAGCCTATGCATGCTAGTACCGCCTAGGACAGCCCGTGTGAGATAAAACAAAGGTAAGAGTTATAGGGTACTAGCTACATGCGATTTGAGATCTATATCACTATCGCATGTCGTTAAGAATAACAAAAAATACTGATGTTGGAGTAAATGATACATCCTGGAGCAGCATACGATAGCAACAATGAAGGACCGGGTAGTCGGTCTACTGGCTATATGTATTTGTCAGCAACAATGACACAGTGATGGTCAGAGATGAATATCGCTATCGCATGAGGCTGAGGATAGCAAAATAGCTGATGGAAGACTACACCATACATCCTTGGGCAGGTACAAGCAATCAGTCATATATATATCTGATTACTGGCTAGACAGCGTCTGTCAACGGAGTCACTAACCCAAAATGGCTAATGATAGAAAAATACTACAAAGAGACAAATAATTATCAGTCTGGAGAGTTGGCTTGGCTACTGCCCAGGCCCGAATGATAAAACTCAATCATATTCTTTAGAAAAAAAACGCTTGATACGAGTAATCAGTCTACTAGCTAGACAGTAGTTGCCATTAACAAATTGATCCTTTTCACTATTCTCAGGTGGCTACGAATAGACTGACGTGGCTAACTTTAGACTCCATCCTATATGATGAGGCAGCCCGAGCCGAGTCAATATAAAACTACAAGCGACAGGCCTACAACGAGTCGACTACTAGCAAGACAACGAGGGTCAGTGACTGATAGCAACTGAGAAAATAAATGGTGGTCCGAGATCCATTTCACTAAAGCTTGCGGCTAAGAATTGCAAACATCCACAAATAAACGAGCAATTAGTTTCCAGAGTTGACTACTGGCCAGACGCAATTGATCAGCCAGCTTGGCGAAGTTGAAACCACTTGTTAGGAAACTTTAAAGAAGGTGAGGGTCGAAGTTTGCCCTTACGAATCACACACAAAGCTGGTTAGTACAGATACAAATTGTGCAGATCTGGGGATGTATTGTTCAATCGCTGGTCGGATGCAGCTCAGCTTTTAACCAAATACCTGGGGATCAGTTGGGGGGAATGTGGTCATAATGCTACGGTTTATCACTTACTAGCTTCGCGTTGTCGATACGGCAAGGGAACATGGCAAGCTGAAATAGATGGATGGATAGACCATATTCAACATGGCCAACAATTTGTCTTACTTTAAAGTTTTACTTCAATGATGACAATAAAAGTATATCTTGCTTGAGCAGCGGATTACTGCATGTATCCTATAAGAAAGCCGTAACAAAAGGGGTTTAGAAAATGTACATTCGCACCATTAAGTACCCATGCTGGACATTTAGTTTAATGCATGCAAAAACTTGGGTAAGCTCGTGATATCTTAGATTCTAGTTTCTAGTTAAGAGTCATGCAGGGCAATACCTTCTACGATTAATGTGAAACCTGTTTATACAGAGCCAAACTACATCTTCCTTGGTTCATTGGGTCTGTAAGATTGGGAGGCGTTGCTAAGATTGGTGTTGAAGCCTGTTGAATAGGAGTCAAACAGATATTCTTTGGCTCACTTTCTATTCAGAAGTTACACAGAATTGGATATATAAATATGTGCGAGTCGATTTGTTTGAGTAACGTCTGAAAAAAAAATCGGTGGTAATTAGATTTTTACCCCCGGGAAGGAAAAAAGAAAGCTACGCGAGGTTTGATTGCTGATTTATTTTGTTTGGTGCAGAACTGGTTAGGAGGACATAACACTAATGGGGACATCGATCACTCCAGCATCGAGGATGTACAAACCCATGCTTACATTTCATGCACGAAAAGTCGGATTTACAATGGCAAAATGCCAACGAAGTCTGGTAAAGTAAACGTCCGGTTGTCTTTACAAAGTAAACGTTACCAGACTTTATTGGCATTTACTGCTTTTCGTCGTGCAGTGTTAAAACCTGTGGTCAGGTTTATTGTCTCTTGAAATGTCTTGAAAAGTTGAGTTTATGTGAGGATGCAGCTATTGTGATGTTCATGTTCTCTCTGTGGACACTTTGCTTTGGTACAGTACCTAAAACACAGGATGTGCCGTAAATGTATCCGTGTGTACTAATTAGCCAGCCGAGGGCTTAAAAGTAGCGCCAGGCAACAAAACATCAGGTGGCTACATCCGGCCCAGGTTCTTTGATGACTTGGCCACAGTTTGACTGCAGCGTTCTTCTATCCCCGACAGGTACTAAATCACATGATATTGCTCTTTGCAACAGACACGTTTATATCCATTTATTGCCATTGAGCTTCCACCCTTCAGCTTCCTAATTATCAGTCTCGTCACGTCGCGTTACTCCGCCAGCCGTACTGATAACTTATCATGCCGACAAATAAGTCACGGCGTGTGTTCGGGAGGCAAAGATCCGCCGTATAATTCAATGACTCTGCGACCTTCGTCACGCGTTTAGCCACTTCCCCCATGAAATCACAGGATACATATTCATATCTTCCCGTGTCGACGACCCTACCTTCTGCGCTGCTGAAGTCTCTAATCGAGCCTGTTACTCTCTCAGGGAAGAGGTGTGGGTAATGCTCCCTCTTGTCAGGAGTGGTTTAGATAACAATCATTTCTGGACTGAGAAAGCGTTGCTTTGGACCCAGGCATGAACCGCGACCTGGATTGAACCGCCGCCAACAACCGGACCCGCTGACGGTGCGGGTAGGTGTGTCCCGGCAGGGGACGTGCCAAAGATGCCGGAACTGGTCATATTTAGGTTCCTATCGACAGGCGAGGCATACGTACATGGATCCTGCATTAATCCACAGCTACTTACCGGCGGTGCCGCGCACTTATTAAAAGCTAGAACAGCAGTCTGACTGTTTTCTGACGTACAGTTCAGACGGGGGGCAGTTTTCTTGGCGAACTTGATACCTTGCCGGATCGATCGACGGTTCTGCCGTGATGATGCATACGTCACACTTGGCAGCCGAGGCCGATCATTCCGGATATAAACTGCCATATACCTAACTGCAATGCAATATTACTCTGAAGTAGTTTCACCCTGCCTTTCTGCATCGATGCGTTCCCCGTTGGTTATGGCCATCTATATTTCTGTTAGGCTCACGTCTGCAGCAGCGTGGTTTTGAGAAAAAAACATAAATTTGCGAAGATGTAAATCTATATGGGTTGCAATGTATACGTAAATGCATTGGGTACTTTTAATTTACAATCCGACGTTTTCCGGTCTGTTTAGTCGTTCTTGTAACCCATATTTTCAATCAGAAGTAAAAATAACAGCATATTTTCAGTTTTAAAAACGCTCACGCAATAGCTAATGTGCAATACAGTACATACATAACATGCAATAGGCTCCGTTCGGAAAATATAAACATCTACTATCATGGCGATTTTAGACATTTGACCAACACAGCTGCCTGTTGGCAATTCCTCATCTGGTGTGCCGGGATAATGGGACAATGAGTATAATTTATAAGGGTCATAATGCTTCTAGCGCATATGCTACCTCTCTGGCAGCGCCATATATATACATGTAGCCAGGCCGGTGCGTGGCTGGTCGCTGATTGGTCGTCCTCGGAGCGTCAGTCGCCCCGCCCGCTAACAAATTTCCTTCCTGGTTTTTTTCAAGGTCTGTTGGTTCAGACCACCTGGCCCGCCCGCAGCTGCCGCGTTCACTCGCACGTCTGTAACCATCGGGCGGTTCTACAGGGGCAAGGACGGGTACAGGACTGATGAACGCCAGCCTTGTTATCTAGAGAACGTGCTATCTAGACATCCAAAGGTTTTCCTGGAACGTCACGCGAAGGAATCATCTGCCTTCTCCGGGAAGTGTGGTAAGCACGGTGGCTGCAATTTACGACGTCTGAGCCAGAACCGCCGGTTGTACAGTGTAGGTTTACAGGCGTGGATGGGGGGTATCACGAACCGCGAAGATTTCCCCGTAATCTGGCGGATTGGAGTCAATTAGGCGTATTGCATAGTCATCACGGAAGGTGTTTATACAGCAGACAGGCCCGGTTGGGGACTTACCGTGGCGGCGGCGTGTCTGTGGGCGGAAGGTGAGGCACACGGGGCCCGCGGGACACGATGGGCCGAGCCGGAGGTGTAAATGGACCTCGTTTCACAGGTTGATATCTGGTGACAACCGCAGTGGTCGCCCAGACGTATTGATCAGCGGACACTCGTGAACAGGGCGGCGGAACTAGCTCTCACGAGCAGAAGGTTGAAAGGCGTGCGAGCGTACGCCGTGTACTATCAGACATCGGAGCATCACCTCAACCTAGCTACCCCCTGCATTCATTTCCCGTGTAATCAGCTATCTACAATGCTTCTCTAATACTATTCTGGGTCCATGTAATCCTTTGACTCTGCAGTATAATTGGGGTGTTGCCCAGAAGATGCAGCGTCTACGCTGAGGCTCGGACTGCAGTGAGCCCTGACTTCACCCCGCTCTCAGATCCATACAGGACGCTCTACAGATGACTACCCCCGGCCTACTCTCTCATCCCGTATCTCAAAACAAATTGCCATAATTCATTCACCGGGCGTGGGGAGTTGAAAGGATTTCTGTAGACCCTCCGATGAGTTGGAGTTCCGCTGCCGGTTTCCAGTTGCAGTGGTAGGCTCCTTTGGGAAGCTCTGCAGCGGGGAAGATGGATAATTGCCTGGGGCCGATTCTACTTGTCTCCGTGACATTGGCTCTACTAGGGGCTTCTAAGGAGCAGTCTGTAGGTAAGTCGTGTCTTTTGTTTATCGGTACTGCCATATTTGTCTTATCTTATCTAAGAAAACTGATGGTTGTACCTTTTGTATAAAACCTGAGTAAACTACATATATCAGGTGGGGCCGTGTGGCGAAGCGGCAGAGTACTCGACTCGGAACCCTGAGGTTCGAGTTCTGACATGCCACCGATCTTGTGCCCTTGGGAAAGGCACTTTACACGACTTTCCTCACTTCACTCAAGTGAAAATGAGTATTGTCCCGTTCCGTATTTGTCCTCTGCGTTGGTGACGGTATAAAATAAGTTGATATAACTTGAGTGTGCCGTCACCATGTCCAGTCATGAAATGTTGGAATGAAAAAAACTACATACTTTGCGATGAGGACAACACCAGTAATCATAAGAAATATACTTTCTCTTTACCCATTTTTAATACATTTTTTGTGTTAACAATTTGAAATGTTTTTGTAGTTATCTATTATGTATTTGCATCGCTGTACTGTTTTTGAGTTCTTGAATAAAAAGTAAGAAAAGATCGTTTTCATTAACGCGGACAAAAAAGAGCGATGGGGTGATGATGAAAATCCAAAACCAACAACAAGTTAATGGCAGTATCTGTGCGTTAAAAGTATGTTTTCCTTTTATAATCCATATATGTGGAGATCGGCACTTGATTCTTTCGCTCTACACCATATTTTATGGAATTTCAGAGGTATATAATGCTGTGCTCACAATGTTAATGCACATGTTCCTCAAATTGATGACGACCGGTAAAAAGTCCAATATCCTAAGTAATACCTAATGCCTAATCATCGAACCCAACGTACAATCAATGAAGAGACCTAATAACTCTATTTAGCGGTAGTTAGGTAAGTCGCATCTTCCTTTAGCATCAAGAAAACAAAAAAAAAAGAAAACAAAGTGGTAAAACACAAAGCCCTTTTAGTATGAGTTGTATTCATCGGAGGATATCGTTAACGTACGAACGTATCTAGGTACTAGGTATAACGAACGATGACACTTGATACTAAACACGAAAACGTGGCGAATGAGGGATATAACGCAGTGATTACAATTCTGAGGCACAAATCCCCCATATTGATGACTACTAGGAAAAAAGTCCAATATCCCAGTAGTACCCAGGATTTATCTACCGTCGACTATGGTTCCAAATACGAGTTTTTACCTGCTGCTATGAGCGTGTTCTGCCTCTATAGTACGTGTAACTCGCGTTGGTTTCTGCAGCGCGAATATGAATCAGTCTATTTTTGGGGTTATTTACATCCCTCTTAATTGGTTAGCCATTTTGAACGCATTTGAAGTATCCACAAAGGGACATTAAAGTCTCTAATTTGTGGCGAAGTACAAAATTTACACCTACTACCCAGTTAGTGTCACGTAGCATTCAAATAACGAATTAAAGAAGCTGAATCGTAATTGTATTAACCATATTTTACATCATAGGAATGATTGATGCAACATATCTCAACTTTTAAGTTCAACACATACTTGATCATTCTCAATTTCAGTCTGAGTAGTACTTTGCATGACGACAGAAATGAATGGACCTATACCATTATTGCGTCACAGTTTGTTTACCTGTTCTAAAGAACATTCTAGAACGGTCAGTTAAAGAATAAAGATCATTTCAAAGTTTTCAAAGTAAGGTATGTCTGATTTTTGCTGCATCTAGTTGTGTTGACACAGCATTACATACCACATGGGTGATTTAGTTGTGACGTTAGACAAAAGTAGTAACTGTATTAAAAGCCTTATATCAGGCTAACGCTACACAAACACACGCCGCGCTACGCACCCCTGTACAATATAAACGTCGATTGACCGGCATTCATTGCGGTAAACAAACTGTGACGTAATAATGGTATAGGTCCATTTCGTACCATATAACCAGGACACGCAACACTGGGATGATAACACTACCATGAAATCAAAGCAGCAGCATAACGATATTGGCGACGTACATTATTGATAGATATATGAAATACGTATCAGTTAACATCAGGGATAATGTCATCAGGTTGGTTAATGATTGAATATCAAAGATTTTTTATTCACAATCATTTTTTTACAAGAGCCGACGTTTTGATGACCCTCTGTGATCTTGACTGGTTGGCTGTGCACTTAAGCTGGGTGTTACTGGTGTTATGTACAATATACATTGTATATGTTGCGTTTGAAACGTCGGCTCTTACAAACAAGTGTTTGTGGATAAAGAGAATAAAGAACTGTTGAAAGTATTTACGGCCGTCTCAGTAAACAGTTCGTCAGCATGACTGATTATGTAGTTTCACGGCGGTGCCCTGCGTGAGTGAGATACAGGCGGTAACAGTCCTCCGTCTTACCCGGTTCCATCAGACTTTTGTCAACATCCCCCGGAGCACATCCTATCACCGGGTATTCGCCAGGAATCACCGCGGGCGGGGATTTTATACCCAGATAAGTACCCGCAACAAGCATCCTTATATCCCGCCATTACTTAATGCGCCTCAATAGCTAAATCCCGCGGGTGATCGCAGGAGGCGAACGGAGGCTTCCCGTAATTCAGCTAAAATTGGCAGATCGAGGCAAGCGGCGACGGTGATGTTGGTAATAGGAGGGGAAAGGTAGAGAGGTGGAGGGCGTCACCATGGGTCGCAGGGATGTCGTTTCTACACAAGCTTAAGGTTTTACGGCTGTTTACAGCTAGTTCCATAATGAGTAATGTATGTACATAAAACATCTTAAGTGGTTTCATGAAGAACAATCTACGAAGTCCTCGATTATTTAAAGGATATGGAAGTTACACCATGCTTTCTGTTTTTTCTGTAGCTGTGTATATAATATAATATTTTATCTGCTGTGGTGTTATACTTCTCTTACACTGTGGTTGAAATGACCGAGTGTCTAATTACGAAGGATTAGATTTGGCAGAGTAATGGGTTCCCCAGCATGACTGAACATTTGCGTAACAAGCATTGACAGCAACCCTATGGATGCCATCTTCATCGTTAGAAGCCAATGAAGTCCCACAAGAAAGACAGCCAACATTCAAATCTAGTATTTGCTCACATACTGTCGTATAGCAGCCAGATGACGCCAAACTGTAGGGTTTGTAAACGATACACATTGTTCGGAGCCTACTCATCCCAAAGTCATGTCATGCCTCCCAAGAGACCCGCGCATCTTTCGTTACTTGATTTGGAAAGCTCGCAACCCGGGGGTAATTTGGAGTTCCTCCAGGTTTCCTCTCAGCCCAGATGAACTCATCCGTCTTCCCCCGCCGATCTCGGCTGCCCAACTCCCGCAGAACGAATGTCATATCCCGGCTAGAATTGAACTCATTACGGGAGGCGCTCGCCATAGACGTCTGTGTTGAGGCGCATAGCCTGTGGCTGAAGCAGGCCGGCTTTGTCAGAAAACTTCCATTTCATCCCGTACTACTCCCCAAGCCTTTTGCAAAGCTTCGTCCAGGGTATTGCATAAAGAACCATTCAGTATTAGGAACGCCGGTGCAATGTTAAGTATCAACAGATGGGTTTTTCGCACAAAAGATCACTGCCTTGGCTCTCTGAAGTGATGAACTGATGGGGAGAGATGATGTGATGTTATCTGATCTTACAAAGCTTGGCATAGTATCTAACGTACTAAATCACGGTAGAAGTCAGCAGTAACAAACGGTTTACTTAGTATGGGAGAGTCGTATGGTCTAGATCGATGTTGTAGCATCTGGTTATAACTAGTTTCGATGAATACTGGCTAGGTGATTCTAAAAGTCGTTATCTGATAACAGGTAGATGACCAAAATGTCACATTTCAGGATCATTATTATCATTGAAAAATTCCCACCTTGTTGAGTACCTGTAATACTATTCGCGATATAGTACACCGTGCTTTGACCAAAGCCTTCAACGAAATATTGGTCTTAACTATAAGCAATATCGACAGAACTATATAAATCCCCTTCGCAAAGAATTACAATTATCTCATGGCATTTTGACTATAGTGATAAACTTTGTTACCTTTCTCATCTGGTTGCAGAGTACTATACTAGTATGTATATCACTACAACTATTATCATTAGTTTGTTTTTATGAAATCTAGACTACAAACCAACGCATAAGAGTCCATTTGAATGCAGTAGATAAGTTGTGTAGTCACTGCTAACAACTTTACCCACGGCGTCCCCATCTTCTGTCGTTGCCTCCATCCAATCTATTAAAAGCCCTCCCGTTGCTTCGGCGTCCCCACGTCAATACACACATCAAGTCGGGCCGAAAGCCCGCCGCAAACCCGATATGATTTCGGCGGATCAAGCGAAAGGAATTTCCGGAATCAGCGGGAAATTCTATTTCACGGTCGGGGCAACTTGTCCCGGCTGATAATCTGTCTCCAGGCCCCGGGCTCGGCGACAATTTTATTGATACTATCTGGGGTGGCATCCTGGGCTGTTTGCTTGGCTGCAGAAACATAATGACGGACCGAAATAGACGAAACGCTGCGGGGAAAAACGCTCGATCACTGCTACACATGGTCGGCAACTTTTACCCAGGCTGTAACATCAAAAATTAGTTTCGAAACGCAATCTAGATGTCAATATTTTTCCAAAACTTTGTTCAGGGGTATGGTATATGGAAACACTCGATCACTGCGACACACGGTCGGCAAGTGTTACCTAGGCTGTGACATCAAAAATTACTTTCCAGATGCAATCTACATGTTATTTCTTTACAGAACTGTATCCAGAAGTATCATATGAGAGCGCTCGATCACTGCGCCACGCGGTTGGCTGGTTGACAACATCAAACATACGTCTCCAAAGACAACCTATCCGTCAGGATTTGTGCAAAACCTTGCAGTAGTATGATCCAACGGCGATCACATCAAATCTATCCATGAACTCAACGACTTATGTTGAAGTCACATTTCCAAAAAGCACAATAATGTTGACAAAAGTAATAATGGGAACTACCTGTGTATATCTTTTATATAAATTGATATAAGTTGATTTTTA